TATCAGTGGCATCTCTTCAGCTTGTCATCACACTGTCTCTTGGAATGTTGGACCTGTCTGGCACTGGATTTTGGTAGGGGAGTTGGAATAGGTGTTGGAGAGAGATTAAGATTATCTACTACTAAATACATCTTATTTCTTCTTAAAGAACACAGCAGCCTATATAGATACATGTATATCAATATTCATTAACTTCATTAGAGAAATACATATTTGGTTTTATAAGTGACAATGTTGTATTCGTTTTATATTTAAGAAATGAAGTTGGAGTCGTTTATTGTGCAATAAAACACCTCACCTGCGCCTCTCATGGTTTATTCTCCCTGCAGTGTTTTATTGTATGATAAACATTCGTCGTTTATTTCTTATATGAGATATCAACATTATGTACAGACTCTTTAAGAATGGTGATAAAATGAACAAGCGTTAAATATATTACCCAAATTTAAGTAATGATGACTCCCTGAATAGAATACAACCTCGGATATGTTGAACAAGTCCATTTTGCTAACAGTTTGGTTTAGCATGGTATTTCCTGCATATTCTCAAAATCCGCATGTCGATCATCTGTACTTTTTTCTCCAAATATCGATTGTCATATCTCTCCCACTTTTGGATGCAATTGTTCATCCACTGCGTTCATCTGCGGAGCCCAGCTACATCTATGGTGAACAACTCACAAGACACTTCCCTGTCAAAAAAACTTTGTCCAATATATAACATCATCAAGCATGTTCGAATCTCCAGAAATGACGTCATGATAGAACACTGTTTTATGTTATGCCATGTATCATGTTTCGTTCTTCATTGTTCTTTGCAATTTATCATGTGGCTATCTTATATTGGGTATTAAATATGCAATTAAGAATTCATATTTTTTTTATTTTAAGTTATTATTCATTCTCATATTCATAAAAACTTTCTTATCGATGGTAGCCAAAACCCAGAACTGGGCCAACAGTTAACGTTATGTAGGAGTGACCTTCCAGGAGTTGACAGGGCTAATTGATACCTATAAACATGATGCCTCCTTCCTCATGATAAAAACTGATAACACCAGCTAGCTACAGATGTTTGAAAGTTAGATCGTGGGTGACCTGGGATGACTTTTGATGCTTAGTTTTACAGTGTTGCTTTGAATGCAATGTTAAACTACTGCCAATCTTGAACATGCTAAGAAAATAAGAACTTCAAAAAAAATTCAATTTTGAACAAAGGGACTATTTTCTCCCAGTTTGCCTGGCATGGGCACATAGATTGGAATCCTATATAAATCTCTGGTAATGTTGACAGTGTCAGTGGTTGAGAGGACAGGCACATTGAATATCATCTGATGAACAGAGTCTGGGGCACATGTTGGGATTCTGGGGCACATGTTGGGATTCTGGGGCACATGTTGGGATTCTGGAGCATATGGTGGGATTCTGGGGCACATGTTGGGATTCTGGGGCATATGGTGGGATTCGGGGCACATGTTGGGTTTCAGGGGCACATGTTGGGATTCGGGGGCACATGTTGGGTTTTGGGGGCATATGTTGGGATTTTGGGGCATGTGTTGGGTTTCGGGGGCACATGTTAGGATTCGGGGGCACATGTTGGGTTTTGGGGGCACATGTTGGGATTTTGAGGCACATGTTGGGATTCTGTGACACATGTTGGGAGTTTGGGGCACATGTTGGGATTCTGTGACACATGTTGGGTTTCCAGGCGCACATGTTGGGTTTCTGTAACTGTAAAAGTAACTGGTGAAAAACTCATCACAAAATGATTTCTAGCATATGCTTTGTTTATCAAAGCATGGTTGTTTTTACAAGCATAGGTTCTGGACATTGTGTTTTGAAATGGGCATTTGGATTGTGGATGAGAATTTATATTTTTCGTTTCATCAAAAGAAGACTAAAAAGTATCACTTCAGGAAACATTTACTATTATTACTAGACAAAGTGACCTGTGAAGATTCCGGGGTAGAATCGGTCTTCAGCAACCCATGCTTGCCCTAAAAGGCGACTATGCTTGTCGTAAGAAGCGACTAACGGGATCGGGTGGTCAGGCTCGCTGACTTGGTTGAAGCATGTCATCGATCTCAATTGCGTGGATCGATGCTCATGATATCAATCACTGGATTGTCTGGTCCAGACTTGATTATTTACAGACCGCCGTTATATAGCTGGAATATTGCTGAGTGCGGCGTTAAACAACAAACAAACAACAACAACTAACCAAAGTTATCCAAACACTTTCAACATTTTGTCTACTTTCTCCCACCTTATATTTTCATTGTTCAGTAAAAATAGTTTTCCTTGAATTACAAAGTCTTCTGTTCAGTCACATGGGTTGTGTATTTTTAGACTCGTGATTCAAGAATGTTTGGACTCATATCAGTGTTTAAACCAGAAGGGGGGGCACGGGTGGCCAAGTCGTCTAAGGCGCCGCGATTCGCTGTGCAGAGTTGCGTCCCTTGGACATGCCAGAAAACTATGATTGTGGGTTCGAATCCCGGTTCGCCCCGATTATGTTTCCAGGTTTGTCAGCACCATACCCGTGCTTGTGGGTTTCACCGAAGTGATAAACGTCTGAGACCCACATCACTTGGGGCTTTCCTCCCACATTAAGCTGACACGCTGCGATATAACTGGAATACTGTTAAAAGCGGCATTAAACCCAACTCACTCATTCACTCACTTAAACCAGAAGGAATTTTGATTTGTGCCCAAATTGGAAATTTATGTTATTGGATACTTTTATCACTTGAGTTAAACAAAATATGAAAATATATATAAACAAGATTTTGCTGCATTTTCTGTATTATCCATTTTACAAGGACATAACGAGGTTGAAAATGATATTTTCAATGGCCTTGGTAGACCTATTTAGATCCTAACTAATGAAATATAACCAAGACACACACCAACCACATAACACACAAACAGGCATGCATGTGAATAGTCACTGCAGAATGTTGTTCAATATTGCATGTCCCATTATTTGTTGTAGATAAGAACCATCGTTGAAATATAGCTACTTGTTTAAAATGTAGCATTTAGACGTCAATACTTGCGTAAAAATGTTTTTGCTAAGCGAGTGTCTTTGGTGCCATGAAATTGTTGAGGACACATATAAAGCTACAGCACCTTGGCACTGTTTGTATCAAAGCAGGGGGGAGGGGTGGCCTAGTGGTTAAAGCGTTCGCTCGTCACGCTAAAGACGTGGGTTCGATTCCCCACATGGGCACAATGTGTGAAGCCCATTTCTGGTGTCCCCCAGTGTGATATTGCTGGAATATTGCTAAAAGCGGCGTAAAACCATACTCACTCAATTGTATCAAAGCAACAGTGATTTATCAACTAAAACTAATCATGCTATTCCTGCATAATAATAAAGAAATTAATTCAAAAGCAAGTCTAGCCAGCTCAAGCTAGCTCTATTTCTATTTAGTCTCTGAAATCAGCATAGGGATTTTTTTTTTATTTTTAGAGTCAAGAGGGATATTGTGTAATATAAGATTTCAGAGACTAAAAGTTAGTCTATAATCCTGCCTACTGTGCAGATAATGATGGTTGAGTTCTTACCCCAACACTTCTACTATTTAGTTACAGTGTTTATATACCCCGAGAGAATCGGATGAAATGCTATACCACTAATGACTCAAATGACATTTGAAACAACCAGGTTCAACAGAAGCTTTGTGAGTCCTGTGAGATATTTCAAACACGTTGCTGTCAATAAGCAGCTCCAGCCTCTTCTATCAGTGATGATGAATTGTGAAAGTTATCTCCCTGCCATTTGTCCAGCATGACTCTCCTTCTCTCAGTTAATATTTGATGACAACACCATTCGGGAGGTATTCTTAGTGAGGTAAAGAAGAGGCTGTAGATTTGTTACCAACTCCAGGATTGAATTTTTGTCAGTGGATATGCATCACATCAGTGCGGAATGTGAACAATGTCTGTGAACAAGGTGATGGTGAGACGTTTGAAAGGACTGTTGCTATCTTGGTGTCCTTGATGGATTTTGGCTGTTAATAGTTAGTCTTGATTTTGCTGGAATATTGCTGATTGGCAGTACATTCTCAGATCAATTAAAGAACCAAACCCTCACCCACCCACTCATCCACCCACTCCCCCACCCACCCACTAACCCGCTCACCCACTCATCCACCCACTCACCCACTCATCCACCCACTCACCCACCCACTCATCCACCCACTCCCCCACTCATCCACCCACCAGCTCACCCACCCACTCCCCCACTCACCCACCAACTCATCCACCCACACACTCACCCACCCACTCACCAGCTCACTCACCAGCTCACCCACACGCTAACCCACCCACTCACCCACCCACTCACCCACCCGCTAACCCACCCACTCACCCACCCACTCATCCACCCCGCTAACCCACCAACTCACCAGCTCACTCACCCACCCGCTAACCCACCCACTCACCCACCAACTCACCAGCTCACAACCAGCTCACCCACCCGCTAACCCACCCACTCACCCACCCACTCACCCACCCGCTAACCCACCCACTCACCAGCTCACCCACCCGCTAATCCACCCACTCACCCACCCACTCACCCACCAACTCATCCACCCACCCACTCACCCACCCACTCACCAGCTCACCCACCAGCTCACCCACCTGCTAACCCACCCACTCACCCACCCACTCACCAGCTCACTCACCAGCTCACTCACCCGCTCACCCACCCACTCACCAGCTCACCCACCCACTCACCAGCTCACCCACCCGCTAACCCACCCACTAACCCACTCACCCACCAGATCGTTTTGGAAGGGATCAAGGACACCTGAGGTCAGATTAATCTCCTGGCAAAGTCTCAGCATATTCACTGAATATCAGCGTCTCTTTCCTCCTCCGCAGCGTATCATGGCTTATCTGGCATAGGGAACCATGGCACTGATAAGTGTTATCATAGATGCTGTATACCTAGCATCAGCACTGATAACATCAGCTTCATTATGCATGAGGCGATCAGGTAGGAAAGATTGTATTGCCCTGACAATAGTGTGGCTCATGGTATAGAAAGATGATAGAGCTGATAGTATTGAAGATGGTGTTAAGGATGGTATGGTTCATGGTACAGAAGATGGTATGGTTCATGGTGTAGAAGATGGTATGGTTCATGGTGTAGAAGATGGTATGGTTCATGGTGTAGAAGATGGTATGGTTCATGGTGTAGAAGATGGTATGGTTCATGGTGTAGAAGATGGTATGGTTCATGGTATAGAAGATGGTATGAATCATGGTGTAGAAGATGGTATGGTTCATGGTGTAGAAGATGGTATGGTTCATGGTGTAGAAGATGATATGGTTCATGGTGTAGAGGATGGTATGGTTCATGGTGTAGAAGATGGTATGGTTCATGGTATAGAAGGTGGTATGGTTCATGGTGTAGAAGATGGTATGGCTCATGGTATGGAAGATGGTATGGCTCATGGTATAGAAGATGGCATGGCCCATGGTATAGAAGATGGCATGGCCCATGGTATAGAAGATGGCATGGCCCATGGTATAGAAGATGGTATGAATCATGGTGTAGAAGATGGCATGGCCCATGGTATAGAAGATGGTATGGTTCCTGGTATAGAAGGTGGTATGGTTCATGGTATAGAAGATGGTATGGTTCATGGTATAGAAGGTTGTATGAATCATGGTATAGAAGATGGCATGGCCCATGGTATAGAAGATGCTATGGGTCATGGTATAGAAGATGGTTTGAATGATGGTATAGAAGATGGTTTGAATGATGGTATAGAAGATGGTATGAATCATGGTATAGAAGATGGTATGGCTCATGGTACAGAAGATGGTATGAATCATGGTATAGAAGATGGTAAAGAAGATGGTATGGCACATGGTATAGAAGATGGTATGGCTCATGGTATAGAAGATGGTATGGCTCATGGTATAGAAGATGGCATGGCCCATGGTATAGAAGATGGTATGAATCATGGTGTAGAAGATGGCATGGCCCATGGTATAGAAGATGGTATGGCGCATGGTACAGAAGATGGTATGGCGCATGGTATAGAAGGTGGTATGGTCCATGGTGTAGAAGATGGTATGGTTCATGGTGTAGAAGATGGTATGGTGCATGGTATAGAAGATGGTATGGCTCATGGTACAGAAGATGGTATGGCTCATGGTACAAAGGATGGTATGGCTCATGGTACAGAAGATGGTATGGCTCATGGTACAGAAGATGGTATGGCTCATGGTACAGAAGATGGTATGGCTCATGGTATAGAAGATGGTATGGCTCATGGTACAGAAGATGGTATGGCTCATGGTATAGAAGATGGTATGGATCATGGTATAGAAGATGGTATGAATCATGGTGTAGAAGATGGCATGGCCCATGGTAGAGAAGATGGTATGGTTCATGGTATAGAAGATGGTATGGCTCATGGTACAGAAGATGGTATGGCTCATGGTGTAGAAGATGGTATGGGGCATGGTATAGAAGATGGTATGGCTCATGGTACAGAAGATGGTATGGCGCATGGTATTGAAGATGGTATGGCGCATGGTGTAGAAGATGGTATAGAAGATGGTATGGCTCTTGGTATTGATGATGGTATGGTTCATGGTGTAGAAGATGGCATGGCCCATGGTATAGAAGATAGTATGGCTCATGGTATAGAAGATGGTATGAATCATGGATAAAGAAGGTGGTATGAATCATGGTATAGAAGATGGTATAGAAGATGGTATGGCTCATGGTATTGATGATGGTATGGCTCATGGTATTGAAGATGGTATGGCTCATGGTATTGATGATGGTATGGCTCATGGTATTGATGATGGTATGGCGCATGGTGTAGAAGATGGTATGGCGCATGGTATTGATGATGGTATGAATCATGGTATAGAAGATGGTAAAGAAGATGGTATGAATCATGGTATAGAAGATGGTATGAATCATGGTATAGAAGATGGTAAAGAAGATGGTATGAATCATGGTGTAGAAGATGTCATGGCCCATGGTATAGAAGATGGTTTAAATGATGGTATAGAAGATGGTAAAGAAGATGGTATGGTTCATGGTATAGAAGATGGTATGAATCATGGTGTAGAAGATGGTATGGCTCATGGTATAGAAGATGGTATGGCTCATGGTACAGAAGATGGTATGGCTCATGGTATAGAAGATGGTATGGCGCATGGTGTAGAAGATGGTATGGCGCATGGTATAGAAGATGGTATGAATCATGGTATAGAAGATGGTAAAGAAGATGGTATGGCACATGGTATAGAAGATGGTATGGCTCATGGTATAGAAGATGGTATGGCTCATGGTATAGAAGATGGCATGGCCCATGGTATAGAAGATGGTATAGAATATGGTATGGTTCATGGTGTAGAAGATGGTATGGCGCATTGTATAGAAGATGGTATGAATCATGGTATAGAAGATGGTATGAATCATGGTATAGAAGATGGTATGGTTCATGGTATTAAAGATGGTGTGGCTCATGGTGTAGAAGATGGTATTGATGATGGTATGGCTCATGGTATTGATGATGGTATGGTTCATGGTATTGAAGATGGTATGGCTCATGGTATAGAAGATGGTATGGTTCATGGTATTAATGATGGTGTGGCTCATGGTGTAGAAGATGGTATTAATGATGATATGGCGCATTGGTATAGAAGATGGTATGAATCATGGTATTGAAGATGGTATGGCTCATGGTATTGATGATGGTATGGTTCATGGTATTGAAGATGGTATGGGTCATGGTATTGATGATGGTATGGCTCATGGTATTGATGATGGTATGGTTCATGGTATTGATGATGGTATGGCTCATGGTATTGATGATGGTATGGCTCATGGTATTGAAGGTGGTATGGCTCATGGTATAGAAGATGGTATGGATCATGGTATAGAAGATGGTATCAATCATGGTGTAGAAAATGGTATGGCTCATGGTATTGATGATGGTATGGTTCATGGTATTGAAGATGGTATGGGTCATGGTATTGATGATGGTATGGCTCATGGTATTGATGATGGTATGGTTCATGGTATTGATGATGGTATGGCTCATGGTATTGATGATGGTATGGCTCATGGTATTGAAGGTGGTATGGCTCATTGTATTGAAGATGGTATGGCTCAAGGTATAGAAGATGGAATGAATCATCGTGTAGAAGATGGTATGGCTCATGGTATTGATGATGGTATGGCTCATGGTATTGATGATGGTATGGTTCATGGTATTGAAGATGGTATGGCTCATGGTATTGATGATGGTATGGCTCATGGTATTGAAGGTGGTATGGCTCATGGTATTGAAGATGGTATGGCTCATGGTATTGATGATGGTATGGCTCATGGTATTGATGATGGTATGGCTCATGGTATTGATGATGGTATGGCTCATGGTATAGAAGATGGTATGGATCATGGTATAGAAGATGGTATGGCTCATGGTGTAAAAAATGGTATGGCCCATGGTATAGAAGATGGTATGGCTCATGGTACAGAAGATGGTATGGCTCATGGTATTGATGATGGTATGGCTCATGGTATTGATGATGGTATGGTTCATGGTATTGAAGATGGTATGGCTCATGGTATTGATGATGGTATGGCTCATGGTATTGAAGGTGGTATGGCTCATGGTATTGAAGATGGTATGGCTCATGGTATTGATGATGGTATGGCTCATGGTATTGATGATGGTATGGCTCATGGTATTGATGATGGTATGGCTCATGGTATAGAAGATGGTATGGATCATGGTATAGAAGATGGTATGAATCATGGTGTAGAAGATGGTATGGCCCATGGTATAGAAGATGGTATGGCTCATGGTACAGAAGATGGTATGGCTCATGGTATTGATGATGGTATGGCTCATGGTATTGATGATGGTATGGTTCATGGTATAGAAGATGGTATGAATCATGGTATAGAAGATGGTATGAATCATGGTATAGAAGATGGTATGGCTCATGGTATTGATGATGGTATGGCTCATGGTATTGATGATGGTATGGTTCATGGTATAGAAGATGGTATGGATCATGGTATAGAAGATGGTATGAATCATGGTGTAGAAGATGGTGTGGCGCATGGTATAGAAGATGGTATGAATCATGGTATAGAAGATGGTATGTCTCATGGTATAGAAGATGGTATGTCTCATGGTAAAGAAGATGGTATGGATCATGGTGTAGAAGATGGTATAGAAGATGGTATGGCTCTTGGTATTGATGATGGTATGGTTCATGGTATAGAAGATGGTATGGGTCATGGTGTAGAAGATGGTATAGAAGATGGTATGGCTCTTGGTATTGATGATGGTATGGTTCATTGTGTAGAAGATGGTATGGGTCATGGTATAGAAGATGGTATGGATCATGGTGTAGAAGATGGTATGGATCATGGTGTAGAAGATGGTATAGAAGATGGTATGGCTCTTGGTATTGATGATGGTATGGTTCATGGTATAGAAGATGGTATGGGTCATGGTGTAGAAGATGGTATGAATCATGGTATAGAAGATGGTATGAATCATGGTATAGAACATCATCACTGACTGGCCCTCAGAATTTGAGTCCCACAGAAATGCCAGAAACCTATGATCACAGGTTTGAATCCCAGGTTATTTGTCTTGGTTTGTCAGCACCAAATCCTTACTTGTGTCCTTAATCTTGCACTTTCCAGCTGTCCACTCACCTTAAGATAACATACCAAAACAAAACTGAAATACTATTAACGTTATCATTGAAAAAAACTCACTCACTCACTCACTCACTCACTCACTCACTGGGTCGATTCCCTACATGGGTAAAATGTGTAAAGCCGATTTTTTGGTATTCCTCGCTGTGATACAGCTGGAATATTGCTAAAAGTGGCATAAAACCATACTCAATCACTCATTCACTGACTCCACATAAGATGTCAGTTTGGAATTTTGACATTTCACATCATAGAGCTCTGTGAGAAGTTTGGATAAAATGCAATAAATTCACATCAAACAATTTGCTGTCAAACATGACTCCATGTTTCTACAGCCAGACAATAAAAGATAGATCTTCACCAGATAGCTGTACTATGCCTCCCTCGTCTCTGTATCACTTCAGGGGCGGTCGGGTAGCCTAGTGGTTAAAGCGTTAGCTCGTCACGCCGAAGACCCGGGTTCGATTCCCGGCATGGGTACAATGTGTGAAGCCCATTTCTGGTGTCCCCCGCCGTGATATTGCTGGAATATTGCTAAAAGCGGCGTGAAAGCATACTCACTCACTCACTCACTGTATCACTTTAGACAGAAATATACACAATATCATTTGATCTTGAAAACAACAGTTGAATTCACCAAAACGCGCTTGTTGATACCTGTTGAGGGATCTCGAGGTGCACGAGAAATGCATGAGAATGTCTCACAGTCAATGGTTCAACCTAATTACCCAGGTTGCAGATACGAAGAAGGCCGGGTCAAAGGTCATTACTCTCATGACATGGAATGTACACGGCTTAGGTAACAAAATACTAAATAGAGAATTCAATTATTTTGTGATTCGTTTGATATTTTTGGATTAACTGAAGTATTTGTAATTGTTCAGAGGATAACATTGAGAAGTGTTTTCCAGATCACTAAGTGCATGTATATTATCGCGAGTACAACAATGGAGTCTCACTGTTGATCAGAAATGGGTTAAAACAGGGAGTGAAATATGTAAATTTATACTTCAGTGATAGCATCTATGTTATCATAGACGCTAACTTTTTCGGATTTGAAAAAGACATTTTGCTTGAATTTTTTTATGTCCACCCTTTATTATCTTATTACTCGGGGAGCGGAGTGGCAAGTGGTCAAAAGCACCATGCTAGCAAGCGCCAGGTGCTGAGATCGTATCCCGCTAGTGACTGGGTTGTTATTCAGCCTTGATACTAACAATGTTCACAGGTCTTTACAGTGTTGTCACTACCCCCAGTGTACTGTACATACACCCTGTGGACTCAAAAGAACCCACTCGTCCGATGGCAGATGACCAGATGGTGGAAACACGAATACGTTCATACACCCGAAACACAAGCGTAAACACGTGTGGCATACCTGTCAACTCTCATGCATCTCGCGTGAGTCTCTCGCATTTATCACCTATATCACGCTCACATGCAAGGTTGGGAAATTCTCACGCATTCATATAAAATGTAGATAAAAATATTTTGAAACGCTTTTCTCTTTCGATTTATCGCGATTGCACCCAACACGGCGAGACTGGGTTCTTTCGCTCAATTACTTGTTGTTATTTCAGAATCCATGCTCTCTAAGGCCATTAAAATGGTCTAAAAATCATTCAAAACCAGTTTAGTTTTCGCCCCCCCCCCCCCCACCAGGACAGGGCTTGCAGCCCGTGCACCCTGGCTTTTCACTCATTTAGACATCCAGGGGTTGACAGCTATGGTGTGGTGTCACCCTGGGCATTGACTTAGTTCAAATGTGCCTCTGTTCACCCAGCAGGGAATGGGTACCCGATATGTGAGGTGGACGTAATATCCTTCTAGCGCCTCTGGGCAGCTTGGGTTGTATACTCCCCAGGGAGTTGAGAATGATAACTGGAATGCAAATGGATCCACTGGTTGGGGGAACAAATAAAACTGCATTTGAGCAGATACTAGTACCTGGATACCTGCAGTATATAAATGT